CAGCTCTCCAAGTGATAAAAGGGATCATATTCAACCTTCTTTCAGCTGGGTTAGTTCTGTTTAAATCTGTTTTCCAAAGGAGACCTGGACAGGAATGCAAAGATTTTACAACAAAACAGTTGGACTAACTCAAACCACAAAAGTCAACCACAAAAGCTTTGGGAACAACAAATTAAACGTCCAAGAAACGAAGCTTGTGAATCCATCCTTCAAGGTTAAAATAGCAAAAAGATGGTCTGTTGTTTGGCCCAGTCATTATTTTCTGGCTAATATCACCCATACACAGAAGTGTGCTACAGATTATCGCAAATATATACCAGTATGCTATTTTTTGTTGTTTGAGTGTTACAAAAATGCATTAAAAGCTTTCAACATGCAGATTAGGAAGCAAATCCACATAGATAATTAATTTTAAAGGGATATTTCAGTATTTCTTAGGTGGGAATGTCTGAGTTGCATGTCACCAAAGCAACAATGGATGCCAGTCAGTTCCACTCAAGCGCAAAAGTGCTAAAAACTGCTTTTCCAAGAGTGTCCACTTGAGGCTGTCTGCAGAAGCACCAGAAATTACATACCTGGTTTACAGCCTGATGATCAAAAATAATGTTACAAGCTCAGTGAATCAGATGCACTCTTAAAACAATGACTCTTAGGGCTCTATTTTCTTGCCTCGCCGGAGACGTGCTGCAAGCACAGCGTCAGTCAGATCCGCCGCGCTGACAAGGCGTTCCCAAGCACATTTTGGTATTTTGGTGAGCCGCGCAGCCTGGCGTAAGTATCCCCCCTCCCTAACTCAGCTCCTCCCAGCAGCATAAGTCGTAGACGGGGGAGGAGAGAGGGCGTGTAGTGGGTTTAACACAGCCGAGACCTGTTTTCACCAATCACATAAGCTCCTCTCCTTGCCTTTAAATCCACCACAGGCGAGGCGTATTACTATTTTCATGAAGTAGTCAAAGAGATCAAGAGATGTCTTAAGACAGTAATGCCACGAGATGGTGACAGAGGGCAGCTCCTCAACAAGTGTCACTGTAAGCGCTGCATTGGGCGTCCTCCACACTCTCATATGAGCACAGATGGATTTGGTGTGTGTAATGTTGGACCCACTGGTAAGACAAACACCCTTTTCCACAAATAAAGACACTCATATAAAGTTGCTCATATTCAAACCTCACGTGACAAAGGTGGGTTGAGCGCACAGATCACAACATAAACTGGCATTAAAATCGGAACCATCTGTGCGTAAATGACGCATCGCGCTCCGTGGCCTGACTCTTTCTTTCATAGATGTTGGCATATAAAATAAATTTGGCCCACAAAACTGAATATTATAATATCCGTATGTCGGCTTAAAGTAGATAACGCATCTGAGCACTGAAACAAATCATCTGTTCAGCCGCAGCAGCAGCAGCAAGACGGACAGAGGACACGGAGACGTGTCCAGGTCGAGCTGTGCGAGAAATAAGAGGAAGAGGAAGAAAGAAAAGGAGGGAGACGAATTACATATCTTGTTAACTTCATCATGTGTGTATATTTACTAGATATTTAATTTACAAATAAAGTTGAGTTGAGTTGAGTTAATTTGATGCGGTTTCAGCTGTGTTGATTCGGTCAGGTTGTGTGTCCAAACGCGTGCCAAACGCGCTCATCAGATCACATATAGATCAGAATATATCTATATAGATCTAAATGTATGTGCTGACTCAGATTAATAGTTGATGATGATTATTTATTGCACTGAAATGTGCCTGACACTGTGGAAACCTGCCGGTGAGGCATCAGTGACGTATGTCGATACGCCGCCGGTCTACCAAAATACTACTAGACCAGCTGCGTTCCGCCTTGCGCTGAAAGCTGACCAGGTTTGAATCGGCGAGCTTTCAGCGCACTTTACACGCCGTTGGCGAGCACGAAAATGTCACTGCGCCTGCTGATTCTGTCGACACCTCCCCCTGCCACGCCACCACGCCCAGCTTGGCGGATCTCGGCTCGCCTCCGTGCGGCTCAGTCCACGAAAATACCAAACTGGCTGTACGCCAGGCTCCGACGGACGAAAATACAACTGCGCGGGGCTCGCCGCCCTCCGCCGCCTCACCGGCCCGCACGAAAATAGAGCCCTTAGTCATGCATATAATTTGCAGTTTGACGTATAAAAGTTTGCAGAAACATGCAATAACTCTGCTACATGAAGCTGCATCAATGTTGATGATGATGTTAGTTAGCCAGTATTATATGAGACAGTTTTATAGTATTGCTATAAATATATAGCCAAAAGCCCATTTGGTACTGTTGGCCTCTTTGCCTCATTTCCATGTATAAGCCCCTCTGTGTACAAAAAAAGACATTCACTATGAAAAGTCAGACCTTCACACTGATGATTAAAGGGATATTGCAGCGTAATTTTGAGTTATGGCCAAACACACAGCAACACAGAGTTAGACACCCCCTCAAAAGATTAATGTTGCCGACTGCTTGCTTCTCTAGTTATACCGCCTTTAGTAACGACCGCAGGATAGCAATACACAGCGGTCTGAGAAGCCATCAACAAACCTCAACCAAAAAGCCACTCTATAGCCACAAATAAAGCTCAGAACAGCACCTAACTTCATCAACAGTACATATAGGGTCCCAGCCATAGTACTAGCCACCAAACATCTTTTTAGTTTTGCCTGGTTTCTGTAACAGAGAGACCAAACACAACTCATCTGCTCTCTTCCAGCAGCCGCTTGTTTGTGGGGGAGCTCTGACGAGTTGAGCACAGAGTGCAGTGGATCATTTCCTTGAAGTAATAATCATCATAATAATCATTTTGCACTGCAGACGCAGTAGTTCTTCTGCCTTAGCGTCTCGGTCTGATTGCATTTCCATGAAGAGTGTCTAAGGTGTCTAACTCAGTGTTGAGTGACTTGAACCCAAGCATGCATCTCAGTTAAAGTGTGTACTCTACTGAGAAGTTTGCAGCACTATTTGTTTTCTTCCACCAAGGCGTCAAAGACTTTTTTTTTACAGCATAATGACACAACCCATGGTCCACAGGATCTGTTTACTTGATCAAAATACACTGAGTTAGCTGCTAAAGGGGAAGACTGAGCTAACATAACAACTCTACACACACCAATGTGTCTGCAGGCTGATCTGAACTAAGCATTACCTGTACTTAGCATTTTGCAAAACTGAGATGTAAAAATATCACTTATGCCACACCAACCTGTTAACTGATTGGCTGCATGCAGGAGAACATATATGTGTTGCAACCACATACGGACTTCCTGTTTGCAAAGTGCAGGAAAAGTTTCATTAGAACCAATCGAAAGATGAGTCACAGATCTAATCCTGTCTGCAGACGAGCTCGAGCCTAGCTTGCATGCAGGTTCTCCCAGCAGTTTCTCTTTATATGGGTGGAGCTTACCGACATCCTGATACATTTGTTAGTGGCATGTAAGTCATACAAACTCACTTCAAAAATACTGTAATATCCCTTTAAATAACGTAAAACATCCTTTGAGACAGATATTTATATATTAGGCTGACTAATTTGTACTTATGCATCTGCATCTCAATGCTAACTGATGCTGTTTCATTTATTCGCAGGGAAAAGTTAGATCTGTATTTCATAGGATAGCACATCAGCTTCAGTTTCTGTGATCTGTGGTTTTACCTGCAATTCAATTACTTTTTAGTTTCTGGATCTTTGACTTATAGATGGTTTTAAAGCTCTCAGAAACAGAGGGCTGTCGGTCAGTTTGGGTCAAACAGCTTTATTCACAGAGGTTCACAAAAAAAAAACAGGCTTGCTAAGGGTTGAGGTGGATGAATCTGGAGCTCTCTTGATTCTGGATTTGAAAGCCTGTTAAAGTGAAAGACCTGAGTATCAGAGGCTTGAAAGACGTGTCTGTTACCTTCACTGCAGAAGCGTCCCTTGTACTCTGTTTTGGAGCAGTCACACACTGGCTCTCCGTCCACCACTGAGCAAGTTCCGCCGTTCTCACAGGGGTTCACTGTGCACCACCCCTCTGACTCCAGGGGCACCTTAAGGCTCCCCAGGAAAAGGGGCTGTGAGCCGCCATATTTGAGGTCTGTGACGGAGCCCCTGAAGGGCTGCATGTTCCGCACTGTGGGCAGTGTAAGTGCTGCGCTGTGGATATCCTGAGGCACTCCGCCCAGGAACAGGTCACTGATGATTTTCATAAACAGACGCTGAGGCCGCACCTCGTCTGCTTTGACCTGGCCGTCCAGTATCATCACTGTGCGCAGGTTATACCTGCTCAGGGTGGCAAAGTGCCAGCTGCTGTCATCCACCCGTCTATCAGACACCACCGTGGTCTCAGCGCAGTCGATGCTGAAACGCAGCTGCAAACGACCCTCCACCACCGCCAGCTGCAGAAAGTCACAGTATCCTCCATCGTCAAAGTACAGCAGCAGCGCTTCAGACGCGTCTGTCTTAAACTGGAAGCTGAGGTCACCGCGGGTGCTGGCGTCCCAGCGGAGGTAGCGTGCCCACTGACCTGGTGTGCCTAAAAACTCTAGTCCCAGACATGTGCTGAGGAACATCTGCAGCCTGATAGAAAAACCAATAAGATCCATAACTGCAAAAGTGATTAATAATCCAATCAGAGAGAAATCTTCAGTTTTATCCAGGCTCTGATAAATCTCTGTTACAAAAATATGTTTTTAAAGGGGAAGGGATGTTTGAGGAGAACAGTCAGTGTCGTTAACAGTCTTGAAGTCAAAGTAATGGAGGATGTGTCCAGCAGAAGTGATTGTTTCCTCCTCAGGGTTACAGAGAGGAGGAATAGAAAGAGGAGAAGGAGGAGGAGAAGGAGGAGGTGAAGATTTGATGTGTTTGTTACACTTCAGAACTGATGCTATCAGGACTCATGGTGCACAGTCTGATGGTATTAGCTTCTCTGGCTATCAGGGCCAGCCGAGTCTTCTCCTTCATGTTTTCCACTGTGACATGGAGCTGACGGGGGATCCACGGGCCGGTCTCAGGTCCATCACTGTCAGAGAGAGGAAGAGGAGAAAGAGGGTCAGAGTAAGTCCATGTCAACACTGCAGCACAGGTTCAGAGGCGCTTTGACACAAATCTGCAAACCTCAATTTCACTGAAGCTCAGTCGTTGTGTGAAACATGAACAGAAACAGAATTCAAATGCAAACTCCAACCAGATCTCAAAGTACCCCAAACTCCCTGAACCCAACAGTGAGGAGATGATCTGATTGTCCTCTGAGGAGCGACAGCCCTGATGGATGGTACAATTAACACAAATTACATGTGGATATTGATGTAATGAAGACAAATGGGACACTTATTGAGTAAACACTTTCTTAGAAAGCAGAGGGCTGGACTGTATTTCAGTGGACTCTTCTCAGCTGACTGGACCAGCAGCCGTCCATCCTCATTAGAAAAGCCTGTGATGTTGCTGATATTTTTGGATTCTGTTTTTAAAAGAGGGTTTTTGTGTGTGTGCGTGCGTGCGTGCATGTGTGCGTGCGTGTGTGTGTGTCTTATCGGTCATCTGCAGAGTAAATGAGCCTATTATTCTCATGGCAGAGTCGGGCAGACCAACTTTATCTGATCACAGGCCTGGAGAGACAGCTTTCTGCACACACAGATAAACACAGAGAGGAGCTAATGAAATATTAAGAGAATGGATATTACACTTGGTGTGTAAATAATTACATGTAGAGGAATAAAACAGCCATGAAATGCAAGGCAAAAAAAAAAAAAAGGTTTCTAATGCAGAACTCAACTTGAATACCCCAAACACCAGTGTGGTCACATATCTCAGGTGCAAATCAATCATTTTTGAGGGGCCAATTTCAAAACATCTGCATATGGTAATGTAAGTGGTACCAGCTGTTGGATTTGGGGAGTTCTGGAGCTGAACACTATGACCTCTGAAAGATGGAAAGATGAATCATCAATGCCAACATGCTTCAACATTTAATACCTGCGACATGCTGAGTAATAAAAAGCAAATACTTTCATCATTTTGAATTACTTACAATAGCTTATTTTAGTTATAGTGAGTATACATGTGCAGATATACCATTACACCTCAGTTGCATCATCTGCCTTTATGTGGATAGCACCCAGAGATCTGGCGAGTCAGCATAATCAAGGAAACAGTGTGAGTCTGTGCAGTATGGAAATAAAAACACACACTGAAAATGAACTATACTGTATCAGCCTGCAGTGTATGTGATAAACTGAGACTTGTCCACATATTTCAGATAAATTCCAGCACAAAAAATAAACCATGAAATGTGTTTTCTTCGCTCTGACCTGATATCAAACCTCGTAGACTGCAGATTGTCACACTTATGCTGCTTATCAACCTGCTGAGGTGTTGAAATTATCAGAACCGAGGGGATATTTGGACCATTTGGATTTTATGATAAGTTCTTTCTGATCTATGTGGTTCCTATTTATTTCTGGATTTTGGATGAATTGGTACAGTTTCACTTTTATGCCTCTGAATTGGTATAAAATATTTATTGAATGAGTGATCAAGAACTATTGTGGCATTGTGCACATGCAGCGACCTTCACAACAAACCAGGGGTGTATATGCAGGAACACTAACCCTTTCAAGAGGTTCTGCAACATCCACATGAACTAAAACAAGACCTGAGAACCACTTATCTGACTGCAGACCAATCTTATTATATCAGCCACATCACTGATAATATTACCGGCATCCTCAAACACACACATGAAACAGCATCAGTATCAATGCATAACTATGATCCATTGAAAGTCCTCCTGATTGGCTAAGCACGTGCACCCACCCACAGCTGCACTACAGCTACAAACCGCTGCTGTGGAGGATGACTCACACGACACATTAAATCAAATGAGGGTCTAAAGTGACTCAAAGGATCAAACCGTGTGACTTGGATGGATTCATTACCATGTGTGTGGGTAAAGTGTTAGTCTTGTAAAGGTTGAAAAGTAGGGGAGACTGGGGTTGGTTGTCACAATGCTTACAAACTTTAAGGCACTGTGTCGTCATGTATTTATATCAAACATTAGGTCTGATGAGATGCTCGTTTGTTGCTGTTCATTTTCTAGTATAATGGTTTTACAGTTAATTCTTTAGTTTACAATTCAACATTTATTAAAAAGAGGACTTTATGATGTCATGCACAACTTCTTTATCAAGAGGTCGGTTTGGCTGCTGAATAGAAAAGGTTACAGATATTATGTGGGCTACTTTCAAGGTTATATTTGTAACTCAGGGTACTTTCAGTTATTTCTATGTTTTTGTCAAATTAGTTCAGAGGGATAATCAGTGTGCCAAACATCTGTTACAGTCCATACAGCCTCAAATGTTCTCAATAAAACACATGCCCATAAAATCAAAAGTTCAGTGAAGACAAAAATACTTTTTTGCTCCACTTAATACTGTTGGTCTATTTGATTAAAGAGGATAATGTAAACAAACAAAGCATTAAAGAGCTATTACTCATGTTAAAACTCATTTGGTGTCCTCTAAAAAAAACAAGTCTCCTCCAGAACTTCTAGTCTGCGTTAGTTTTAGCGCCCCCTGTGGACAAAGAAGGTTTTGTTTAGCTTACCCTTTACATGTTTAAAGGTGGGGTAGGCAGGATCTGAGTTAGTTTCAGTTTTTAGGAGAAATTTTGAATGTAAACTCTATCTCTCCCAACCAGTTTTCCCCTCAGCTCCTCCTGCTCGCTCGTATTGTTTCAATTAAATTCAGATATAATGCAGATAAATACTCCAGATAATTACAAATGGGGCCCAGTCAACGTGAAAGTAAAAAGCATTGGTGCTACTGTAGATGCCAACAGACTACCAGCAAACACAATGTTTGCAGGACTTCTACAACTAGGATAAAGTGACATAGTCCAGGACCAAAGGTCAACAGTTTAGTGGCGCCACAACACGCAGCAGGTCCCGTTTGACCAGAATCACTTCTGTTACAGACACTTGGCTTACTTTGTTAAAGCTGTCTGCCTGTGCAGCAGAAAGATTACAGGGTCTGTAAGATCCAGAAGCGTCCCCCATCCTTTTATGTTGACCCGGCTTCTTAGCCCTTGTCCGGACCACACCACACCTTTCATGTATGTTTTTTATGAATCTTGAGTGTGTAAAATCTAAATCTAGGGCTTTTTCTCCACTTTAAAAATTAATCCTGTTTTAATTTCAGTGCCAAAGAAAAAAAACTTGTGGAGGCTACATTTGTGTACGCATATGCATGCATTTACATCCACTCTGCAGTGTCTTCACTTTGTGTACCATGCATCTCTGTGTATAATTACAAAATACTTCTCCTCACCACCCATTTTATTTTTATTTTTTTTTTCATTTTTGTGATTTTTCTTCATGATTATTAAAAATGTAGATGTAGCTTGAATCTTACTTTTCTACTCTCAATTATGTTTCAGGATAATCTGAGAAATATTTCAATCTTGTGTGACTTACAATGCCAGGGTTAAAACTTTGGACTTACAGTATATCATCATGCAGCAGGAGCATATTTTATACAAGGGAGGTTTTGACCACCAAGACCAGAAGCTTCCAGGTTGGGAGTGGATGTTATCTTCTTTTGATGGCCTAAGGTGCAGGCTGAGTGAAAATAATAGAGAGAGAAAAAGGCAGTAAATACATCCTGGAGGCTGGGCTCAGCTCAGGGCCTCTGATAAGAGAAGAGATACCAGCCAATCCATGCTCCAGACGTCACAGAGACATCCAAACCAAAGCTGAGGGTTTATTTCCACCAGGTTTGGGTTTATAATGAGCCAAAATTTTTTAGTGCAAAGTTGGATGTCATATTAATCAAGAGCTGTTTTACTCGCAACCATAGGCCCTTTTTTCCTGCAATAATGTGGATGTTTTTGCTGATTTCCAGACATAAAATTGCTTCTCCATCATGTTGAATTTGCAGAATGTTTTATTTAATTTATCGGGTTTGGTTTTTTTTCTTTGTTTTTTGCTTTTTTTAACTGTAACACAGTTCAGATTTTCTTAGCATTTTGATCAACCTTTGGGTCCCTTGCAGTCTCATTCTGAAACAACATATCCACTGGCCTCTCCAAAGCCTGACTTATGTTTCCTCAGATACTTTAAAGCTATTTTTTTTTTACACTTAAACCTGAAAGCTGTTAAAATTGAACTTTCTGTCTTTTCTGTTTTTTTTTTTTTATTTGATTATTTTGTGCCTTTACTGCTGTGGTCTTTTTAAATGATGCATTTTGAGTCTATCAGCGGATCAGTGTCAGAGAAATCACACTTGTGTTTACAGATGCAGACTTGTTCCTGCTCTCTGCAGCATGTGTGTGTGTGTGTGTCTTTTGTTGCAGTGTGGGGAGCGTGAGGGTTAAAAGGCTAAACGGCATGGATCATTGTTCTCGGTGAAAGGCTCCTTTGACCAACCCCACAGGGACGAATCCACATACACACACTGACAAAAGGCAGCGGCACTCTGGATCCTATTAACAACCACACACACTGAGACGGCCGCGCGCATGTGTGTGTATAAATGCAAATAAAAGCAGCCCACCGGCAGGCCCCTTGTGTTTTAATGGATGCCACTTGCCTGTAATTTTACAGCAGGTGCCCTCATCATCACACACACACTCTACAAAATAAAACACATGCGCACAGATGCAGTGAGTTCGTCCAGACGCAATGACAAAATGTCCTCCACAGCTGGGAGATAAAATCAGTGAGATTTCTCCGATCTGCTCAGCTCAGCGTGAGGCCTCTGAATAAGCTGCAGCTCACATCTGATCCACAGAGGTGCCATTTTCTTCTGCATGTCTCTGCTGCTGCATTGAACAAGCAACATCATTTGACCAGGACATGAAACCTGACAGAGGAGGAAAGACAAGAGAGGAGGGAGAGATGTTCCACCTCATCCACTCCCACTCATGCATCTCACAAAAACACCCCGACACTCCTCTTTCTCCTTGCTCCTCATCACGTTTCAAAAACACACACCTTTCTGGGTGCACATGGCAGAATTCAGCCTCCATCTTAAAGGCTGATATCCATCTTTTCGGGCTCATTTCATGTGTGGAAAAACCTGCAGAGAGGGTGTAACAGGAGAAACACTCTCAGTCATACTGATGCAAATCCACTCCTGAAGCTGAGCAGACCTGCAGACACTTAAGGGAGGAACCACAACACTGCAAACGTCTCTGACGGTGAAAATCACAATCTTGTATAATCGAATGTTTTCTTATCAGACTCATGCGACAATGAGCATTCAAAAGATGACAGCAGTGATTGTGCGAAATCATTTTTAGCTGGTTAATTCTCTTTTAGTCTTTTTTAGATTTTCTGTCTTTTTGAGGTGCATGGCTGACATATTCAATCCTGCAAAATCCCTGTTTTTCAGCAGCATTAATAAAAGCACTGATAATATCATTATTTTGAAGGTTTTTGGGGGAAGCATTTCTGCCTGTAATAAATTCAAAAGCTGAGAATAGATTAAAAAAATGTGGGGTTTGGAAAGAAGAATATAGAATATGCACCAAATGGTCATGGCTGGGTGTTGAACCAGCAACCACTGCAACAACTATGATAGCCCCAAAATCTGTGTATTTACTCCAAGAAAAGTAAAAGGTATTTGATTTGAAATGTACTAAAATTACTGAGTACCTTTCACCTATGGCAGTGAAGATTGGGGTTGTCAAATAGTAGGGGTTACTAGGAATCACTAGTGGCCCCATGATACAATATTATCATGATACTTGGGCCACGATACAATATTATTGTGATTTTTAACATTTTGCAATACAGTGAGTATTGCGATACCATATATTGCGATTTATACAATTTTTTCAACTGTTTAGCTTATTTAGCATCTGTCTCTCCTTTATGTTTGTCTTATTTACGCTGTATTTTATTTTCATGTAGCACATCTTGCAAACCTCATATACATTTGTTGCACAAACTTACTCCTGCTCTATGATGTCACCTCTGCCAACCAAACTGGACAAACAGGTGATTTTATTTTTCCATTATCATCGAATTGACTTCATATTAGTGATTAATTTGAAAGATTTGTACTTGGTAAATGAGACAATACAATATATCACCAGACAAAACATTGCGATACTATGCTGTATCGATTTTTTCCTCCCACCCCTATCAAATATGCGCTCATATTATTTAAAAGGATATTTTTCCCAAACTAACTTTTACAATAAAATCAACAGCACTAATGTGTGGAGTGTGTTGGACCGTGCATCTATCTAGGGTGAAGTTTCTAAATAATTTTGCAGCCTCTTTTGTCAGGATTGCACTTTATGCACGCTCCCTGCAGGTTTGACTCGTGTCTGGCTGTGCAGAGAGGGTTAGTATTATTATTATGAGCCAAGAATAATCTCATCATTGATTGCAATGAAAAAAATGGCTGCAGATGTTGCAAGCACTATTTTCTTCCTTGAAACAGGAGGCACTGATTAAGAAAAAAGCTGGCTTTAAATATCATTAAATAGGTTCTACATTGGGCCTGACATGTCAGTGTAGCTTTAATGATTTATTATGAGATGTTTTGACTAGAAATGAGACGAATTCCATTGGTAAGAGTCATCCAATCAGCTGGCTGTAATGCAGATGATGCAAAGCTTGCAGCCCATGTTTTTAGTTATTTTAAGTCAGTAACTGATGCTACGTAAAAGGAGATTTGTGCAACACTTTCCACAGAATAAACTGAATTATAAAACATAGTGCTGTTTTTAAAAATGTAACGGACATTGAATGCACATTAAAGGTGAAGTTAGCCTGCAGTCATGTGAGTAAATACGATTAGTGACTTTTCCATCCTGCTAGTTTCACCATCCTCTCTCCTGCATCAGGTTTGAAGAGCTAGACATCTTTTTTTCTGCAGACTGGAGGACAGTTGTAATGTACAGATTGATTTTTAAGAGCTACATCTGCAGATTTAAACAAATCCTGAAGTAAAATTTTAAGATTATGCCCCCCCCCCCCTTTTTTTTTTTTTTTAATCACTCACCTTTGTTTCAAATTTTCAGCCCGAGCATCAATAAGCAGACTAATAAAGAATTTAGGTGGGCTTAACGTAAAAAGAAGGAGATGAGTAAGAGTGAGGGAGGGTGTATGTGTTTGCATGTGTGTGAGTGTGCGTGCGTGTGTGTGGGAGCCTGTTATTTTGGCGTCGGGTGCAGCGTGGGCACCGTGTTGTTATCAGCTACTCTGCAGGCAGGACACGCCTTCTCTGGGCTCTGTGGTTCTGCTGCAGCACCCTTCACGGCATTACATCACCCAGTTAGAAGAGCACCCAGCACCCCACAAACGCCTCTACACACACACACACACACACACACACACACACACACACACACACACACACACACACACACACGTATTCGACGCTTGCCCCATGCAGACATCTGCAGACATTCACACACCATGTCTGCATTTACACTCCCCAGAAAATACACACTAGAAAATTGAAATACACGCGCGGAAATCACTGCAGGCACAAGGAGAAATGTTACACACAGTAATCAAAGCTGCACACACACACACTTCTATCTACACACAAATCACTACACACTCCACCAGTGAACACACCCACAAATACCTCGCCTTTTTCTCTCACCACCACCCTCAGCAGCAGTTTATGTAACACCACACTGCATCCATTTTTCTTCCGCCTTCTGCTAGTTTAGTTTGCCTTTTAATTATGTGACCATCCTGCGCTATGATTGGTCAGTCAGCCCAAATTAAACGGTGCAAGACATCACGTGCCTGTGCGTACCAGGCCTGAATGTACCTGCAGCAGAAATGAGGATTTATTTATTCATTTATTTACCAAACATTATTATTTTCAAGGATGTAAAGATGGTTCAGCTGATGAACCCAGACATAAAAATTAAAAACGATCATTCCCTAAAATCCTGCGTTATTTTTGCCTTTCCCCGCCCAGAGGGATTAGTGTTACCTTGAGAGCCCTTGGCTTTTTGCGCCTGATTTGTCAGCGCAGTTAATCGGCTGCCAACCAGAAGAAAAAAAAACAGAGCAGCCAAATTACCCAAAACAGCCTCCATCCTACCCCCAAACCCACCCACACCACCCCAGCCTTACACTGGGGGGGACGACGACGACAAGGAACATTAAACCGAGCGGAGGGAGGGGGGATTTTTGCAGAAAATACGACTGAGCATCTAACTTCGCTCAGACAAGATGTCCTCATTTTATTTCAAATAGCTGAAGCAGTCTGCAGAGGAAACAGACATATTTAAACGTCTTAATTCTCAACATTAAAGAAACGCCATCAAAATAAAATGATTGCAGTCGTTTTGAAAAAAAAAGATTTTTTTTTTTATTATTATTATCATTTTTTGCACGAGGCCTTGAAACGCATAACACCTTTTTATTTCTACTCTGTTGGTGATTTTAGCGGTGGAGTTGCAGGTGATGAAGCACCTTTGGGCCCTTTGCAGGGAAAAGAGACGCATTCCCAGCTGGGTCACGCCCATTCTGGAGACCCGTTTTTCTTTCCCTTTTTTCTGGAAAAAGCCTGATTAGGAATTCCCTCTGCATAAATGCCCAAGAATCATCTAATCCTATTAACTCTTAAAACCCGACAAATCAAAATGTGTGCTGCAGCGATGAAGACAAATATATTTGTCATCCTCCTACTTTGGAGAATTCGCACAAAATTGCGCTCGTAGGTTCAAATTGGAGATGCAGATCATTTTTAGAGATGAGATAGAAAATAGAATAAAGCAGCAGAAGGTGTAAAGACTGCGGCCTTTTGTGCTGCTTATTTTTGGTGCAGATCGTGTATTTTTCTGCACACACACACACACAGCACAAGGCCTCGTCTTTTTCTTGCAATTAAAACTGTCAAAAGTGCTGCACAAAATGGGCCATCCAGCATTCGTCGCAGTGTGAATGACAAACTGAAGGCAGGGCTCGTTCAAATTAAAATTTCCGTCTGCAAATGGATTTTTCTGCCTTATCTTCAAAGCAGGCCCAGGCTCAGCCTTTTTTTCTCCAAAATATAGACTGATGAAAGAGAAGGGAAAAAAAGTTGTCGGCTCGACGTGCAGCATGAAATGCAGTTTATTTGAAGCGGAGCAGTCACATTTCTGCAGACCTCCCTCCTGTCCCTATGGACGCCATTTGATCCACCAGGGAACCGAAATATTTCAAATCATCACAATCATCCCTGCAGGAAAAAAAAATCGTTTTTACATTTCTGTAAATTGAATCGATTTGTCACGTATGAACAATCACTGACGGGTTGCTTCATTTATTTCGACATCTAAAGCGAGATTCATCGTGAGAAAATCCTGCGAACACTGATTTTAAACCTCGTTTTTAGTGTCGTGTTTTATTTAAAAAAATGCAGAATGATGCATTTGTTTAAAATAGGGTAAATGTGAGTAAAAACGTCAGCCTGCAGCTGGATGTTTTAATGCAGACACACACATACATACACACACTCACAGAGGAAGAGGGATAATGGAGGAATGTGATGGTGTCTGCATAGTGAGGAAGAAGGTGTGCAGCCTGCTGGTGTGCGCTGTCCATCTGCGTTTCCACAGAAGGTCATGCATCAAACTGCTGCACGTCAAACCCGATGGTCGTGTTACATCAAAATATGCATATTTAAAGAGTGTGTCCGCTCGCGTGTTTGATGGGCGGAGAGGGATGCGCGCGCGCCGGGTCAGGGCGCATTTGTTTGACATTTTAACATGAAGCTGCGGACGAAAACAATGCGTGGAAACCGGATACCTGGCGTTCAGGTTATTCATTATTTATCATCCGAAACACAAGGTGAAGAGAAGCCTGCAGGTCGCTGTTTTGTCGTCTTTTTTCACGAGTGATAATCGAAATATTTCACACAGGAGGGTCTGAAATGATAAAGGGTTATAATTGTAGGATATAAATTGGAATGAAAATTATATTTTATATAGTAAACATCACCTCAGGGGAGCGGAGAGGACGTGCGTAATTCTACACCCGCCTGTCACTGTGCCACTCTCCGTTCCTCCGGGGGATTTCAAAGGCCAGCACCGCAAAAATTCCCATTTTCTCACTCCCACAAACGCAGCTTTTCCTTAAATGAGACTCCCACCTGCTCCGTCTCGATGTGTTCACCGGTCCGGCGCGCACAAACAGGAAAAAGTCCTGTCCAAGTGGCAAGTTCCGTGCTACCTGTGCGCCAAGAGTCCAGCCTTCCTGCCTCACGTTTCCTCTGGAACCTTCTGCTGTTTCTGCCCCATAAAATCAAATTTAAAGGGTTTTCTAAGTGCACAAGAGACACACAGGTTGGAGTGAAAATACGACGCTACTGACCTTATAGACAAACAGAACACCAAGAGTATACAAGTGCTAAAATCCAGCCGTAAACTCCACAGAGCCGCAGTTTTTAAATCCAAGGGTCCGGGGGAAGCAGCGGTGTTCGCGTTGCTGGTGCTGGTGCGGAGCGGCGAGGGGCGGAGAGCACCAGGCGGTACCGGGGCTGGGTTTATGATCCCTCACAGGTGCGTCGAGCACGGTGCATCATGCGCACAAAAGCCGCTGTTGGCTCAGTGCGACTTGCAGCGGCTGCAGGCAAGAGGCGCACGCGCATACACAAACACACGTACAGGCGCACACTTGGGTCCGCCCTCCACTCAGCACCAGCACACGCCATTTAAAGGCGCACAGGCTCGTAGAGGGGCCAACACAGACACACTTAGCAGCTACACACGCTCACACACACGTGGCTGCATGTATGCTCCAGCGCCCTTATGGCTCTCATTAAATGGAGGAAGGTTTCCTTCGTTTATGCGGTTTATCACTGTGCTCCTGCAGATTCTTACCGTTTTCTTTTCACACATTTTGTCCCCACCGGTTTTAAGTTTTCAAACAGGTAGCTGCTGTCAGAGCTGCAGACCACTGATTTATGTGTCTGCTGTTTGCTCTCATTCATTTCTGTCTCAGCTATAAAAAAGACACAGCTCAGTCAACCCTAAAGTGTGTCTATATTAGTTATCCAAAGACAAGAAGGTTCATTTAACTCTGTGCAAAAAATGATAAAGGCCTGGAAACACACTCAGATGTAAAATCTAGTTTTAAGTGTCCAAGACAGGAAGCAGAACAATACAGCCTCTAATTGGCTTATTGATTGTATTTATTTGTACCTCACTGACACAAAGTATCAAACCTTGATGGTTTTACAAGAGACCAGAAAAGCAGCAGCTAATTGAGCAGCATAATTGAGTATGTTTTACTAGAAAGCACAACATTTTAATCAAAGACAGGACAATAAAAATCCAGCTGGTGCTCTCTGAATGAGAGAATAAGATCATAGTTATGATTCTCACCATATTTCTATGTATGTAAGAAATGAAACACTAAAAATAAGAATTACAATCTAAAACAAAGGAACCAATGAGGATTTTACATTAATATACACTCAACAACTGACAACTCAGAGAGGTACACATCCTCTGTACCTAAAAGAGTAGGATTCAAATGTTCTTTTTTAAAAAGCTTTTAGTGAGAGCTGGTTTAGGTCTGGACCAGCTTTTAGTTCTGCTGCTGTGGGTTTAGACTGACCAACATCAGTCTGGTTCTGCTCGAGGTTTCAGCCTGTTAATGGAAGTTCCTCCTCTCCACTCTAATTCTCTAAATGCTGTAAAGTGTTTCACTCGTGTCGTTGAAGATGGAATGACAATGGGTCTGATGTTACAGGATGGGGGTTCTGATCCCATCTTTACATTGGGTCTTTGTAAATAGAGTCTAGTCTAGATCCGTTTTTTAGCAACCAACTGCATCCAACACAGAGTCTTTAATACTTTCTGTGTTTTGTTTGGTAGAAACCTGAAAAAAGTCCCTTCAGAACATTTCTGGATCGACCCAAAAGTGACCTCAAGTCTAACTCTAAACCCTAGATTTAGATGAAATCAGGATCTGAAGCTGTTAATGCTGAATCACCTCAAACCTGGAGGATCTGTCGTCTTTGTTTCATGTTATGTGTCTTCAACAATAATTATAATACTACATTAGATCTTGTTGCATTTGTTGGAGTCATCTTCAAACTTCTGAAGCTGCAGAATTGATTTGACATCTGAACAAATACTGAGAGAATCAAGGGGGTTTTGAAAAACAAGATATCAGGAAATTACCTGAGACTGAGCAGAGGGATAAGTGGACCCTCCTTCTGATCGCTTCAGATAGTGAGAGGGTTGAAGAAAGAAAGATCAAAGAGCGGCTGACAGAGGGGAGACAGGAGGAAACAGCTCTGCTTCATCCACGTTTTTGTCGAACTGTGTTTGTAAAGCTTCATGTCAACTTGACAGCACTGTGCAAAGACACAAATAAACAGCAGGTCAATGGTGCATCAATTCAGATCGTTCAAAAATATAAAGTGGTGAAAATATATAACTAATATTGTGAAAAAAAATCGACTTACTGGCTCAGCAGATTGTGCAAAGCTGACTGGTGTTGCGCAGATCTGCTCCTGTGCATGTCTGAGATGAAAAGGATTTCAAAGCTGTGACGTCACACTGCTTTTGCGTGATTTAGGTCGTGAAAATACAACATAACTTTGTAAACTTATAGAGACTACGTAGATTAGTCTGTGTGTGATTTTGTAGAGTACAAGAATCAGGGTTTTCAGTGGATTGTGCAGAAACTGTGTTCAGGTCAAATGCTCCACCTGCTGTTTACAACACATACAGTGTTTGATAAGGTCAATGCATAACTGAACTTGCCCATGTAGTTTCACATCTTCTCCATTTCAAACTTCAACTTAGGCAGCTGGGATTTTTTTCAATCTAAACTAAGGTTACATTAGTTCATGTAAGGGGAGTTTCAATGACGATTTAGTATGTGTCATAAACAGAAACATTGGCAAGTTATTAGCAAATAAACACCGGTAAATGTAAGACAGTCACTGATCTGAGGCTCATTACTCATCTGAACAGTGTTGGTCTTTGTAAGGCTGGACAAGCTGACGAGCTGATGGCACTACAGTCCTAAAGATGCCCATCACGCCCAAAAAATCATGATTCTGTTTTATGTACATTTTTAATCATGTCAGGGGATGCTTCCAGGAGATATAAGTTGTTGGGGACTTAAAATAGGTAACTTATTCATTAGATCCAGTGTTATGCCATTTTCACTTGGTACAAATTGGCTTGATGATGGTTGTTGTCACCTTACAAAATGTATTTATTCTTAACCACTTTTAAGGGAGTAAAAAATTCAACTTCCGTTTTGATGGTGTCCAGGATAAAAGTTTTGCATAAATTTGCATATTCAGGGGTGTGACTGACTGGCAGGTGGATGCGTCAAAGCCGTTTGCACAACAGTTCAACTGCATTTCTTGTGGGGTGGCCTTATTATATCTTTTATATCTTTAGACACTAATTGGCGATGTCACTAAGGGGTCTCTCTCACCCAAAGTCTGCTTAGAAGGTCCGGATCAGGGACCAAATGTTTACATTGTTGTATTTTGCATTTGGTCCAGTTAGCGTTCACAGGAGACTTTTGCTAAGTAAACTCAATGGTTTAAAAAAAGAGGGAAAATAATGGGGGAAAATCACTGTCTGTCACTTGCTCACTAGGGGCACAATCTTCATTGTCCCACAACGCACAGGAAGACGCCAACCTGAGAGAACAATAGACATCTTGCGTCATGCAGTTCACCAGAGGTGGCAGAGATGTTGTGCAAGGAGACGCCGGGCATTAATGCAAAAGACTGCCTTTAACATATTGTCACCATTTTTGTTGAACAGAAGAACACCCAGGTATTTGATATCACCCGACTATTGTATTAGAACACAAACCCTCTGTCATTTGTCCAGTTTTACGGACAGTCCAGTGTTTTAACCAGCTGTTCTCCGTCTGCTGCAACCTCTGGCCGGGCATAATTTCCCAGCTTTATTACTGTGTAAATGTGTTATTGGTCTATATTGACTTATAAAAAGTCTGGCTGCATCAGTGCTGCGTTCACCCACCGCAGACCAGACCATGGTTTGTTTGGAAGGGGACTGAATCCGGTATTTTCAAGAGGACCACGATCCGTTTCTTTTATCCAGACCACGGTTCGCTTGTGCATTTATACCTCCTGGACAGAAGGAGTAAGGAGACCATGGTCCTTTTAAAACAAACCAAACAGTCCTGGTGTGAATGCACCCTAAGACTACACTGGAACAAATGGTAAACTTGTGGTGTAATTACAGCAAGAGGTGTGGTTTGGTTCACTATGCAAGTCCATCCTCAAAATTTAGGGGAAGCACACAAATAATGACCCATACAGTCCTTTTGTTTTGGCACGTTTCTGTTGAGAGGTCAAACTAAATTATATCTCTCTTAACTTGATTTTATTTGATCAGTGTGTCATGACTCCATTTTATGTGCATTTTTATTCGTATCGGAACACTTTCATGTGACATAAGCTGTCAGGGTTCAAAGAGGAGCACATCAGTCGCACAGTTTTTAGTTGAGCAGTAAAAGGAGCTCAGAGATTAGATAGTTAACATAGTTTAACTGCAGCCAAGAGATTAATGACAACTTTTTTCTTGCATGAGTTCACCTTAA